ATAATTTCAAGCAATATGTATCATTAATAGCTGTACACAGTCGAACCCTAGTTGTGGCTGATTCCTGCAAGAGAGTATGTACAATATGAAAAGCTTCCATGGAGCTTTGTAACATATGTTGTCTTATAAGGTGTCTCTGTAATTTCATCTGGCGGTGTCCCTAACATTATGGTATCTTTTCGTCTTCTGTCTCTAAATTGTGGGAGTATTTTTATTTACTGTAAAAATACAGGTTTATTTGTTTACTGACGAAGTCTTTGTTACCGTCTGGAGGAAGTCGTACTCATATATGTTTTCTTCGAGAAGTAAAAATATTCAGCAGGAACATAATGCAGTTTCTGTGAGAGTGTGTATCAACAAGTGTGTAATTCTTTGAAATGAACAATGTCTTCAAAGGCTTCTTATTATGTTTTTTTATTTTCTGAATCTCTTGGTCTGTATTATACAAATGGATGATACAGTAATATTTGAATATATACCAGTTCTCTTCATAAGGTGGTTAATGCCCTCCTTCTATATATGAATAGTTTACCGACATAATCCGAGAACGACATAATTTCGTACTGGATAGCGTTTATATGAGTCCAAACAATTAACATACATCAGTTGGGGAAAAAGAAATATGCGAATCCGATATGGAAAGTAATGTGCATGATATAAAGTCTAATGTGTTAACTTCATGCAGTAATTCTAGAATTTTCGGACAGTGTTTTGGTGCCCTGTATAAACGAAATAGGAAGCTGAGGAATTGGAATCGATGAACAGCCTATTCTATGACGCCATGGACAATATGAATATATATAGGTACAACTTCAGGTTATTCCCCCTTTTGAAATATATAAAGTGTTGTTCGTGTACATCCTATGATCAAAATATATTAGAATTCTTAGCGGGGCATGTATCTTATATATAATCCTGCAATATTACTTCTGGAATGGAACATAAAACTTCATGTGAAAGGTACCTGGCCTGATAGTGCACGACCTATGTGATTTCGTATATGCTTGTTATACTCCATATTCCGTAGAACTATCCTACTACAGCATGAGTACAGCATAAGTCATGAAAGAGAAATCTATAGAACTGGCGTACTATCCATTGTGAGAACAACTTACACATCCTTATTGTGAGCAACGTCGGCAGGGAGAACTAGAAAGTCCGGGAACCATAGCTAAAAAATGGTAATAAGGGTTGTGTATACTACGAAAATAGAGGTCATGGGGATTTAGGAATATATTGTTAGAATTACGCCTAGATCTGTATACAATTAGTTGATTTTTAAATACTTTTTAATTTTACTCAAGCATTAATGTTGAGAATTCTTGTAATAGGATAATTTAAGCATATAAGTTCGTGAACTACATTTCGTGCGTATTGTACAATACTCAGGAAACGTGTATGGAACACTAGGTATCTTAAATACATGTATGTAGTTATATCTATTGCAAATGAATATAGATATTTGTACTAATTTTTTCTTATTGTATTCTTAAATTAGTTCTATTAGTGAGGAGAAAAATAGGAATGATTTATAGTAAATTTACTGTAGTTGAATATAATGCAACC